TCCAGGCTCTGAAGAAGGCGAAATTCGCCGAAACGTCAGCTTAATCGTGAACAAAGAACAATAACACCTCGCGTTTGCTCTAAAAAGTCATCTTCAGACCATTTTTTAGCACATTCAGAAAATATGATAAGCTTTTTTTCTATGGAAACACAACGAACCACCTTAAAAAACATACTCCTATTTGGAAGTGAATTCTGAGTGAAGAAATTTACATGAATGAGCTATTTGCTGTGCACAACACCTTGCTATCTGTGAAAAAAGCACGCAAATGAATATATATGCATACACGCATGTATATATGTATATACACATTTGTATACATATATAAAGGATAAAGGATAAAGCTTTCAGCGTTGATAAATCCCTGAGGGATGTGCCATTCATTCGACTTCATTAAGCATCGCTTGGAGGTGATTGAATGCATATCCAGCCCTTACAATAACTCGCGGTGGCCTACACGATGTACCGAGCTTGTGCTGCCATCCTCCCAGACAAGTCTGGTACCAATTTTCCGACCCCGGAAGGAAGGAAGGCTTGGTGGGCCATGAACGTGGGGATCGACTCCACGTTTGCTGCAGGGCGCTTCCAAACACTACGCCACATGCGCCCACGTATATATATGTATACGTATATATATGTATATATACATATATAGATATTAGACAACATTGACAAGAGTGAAACCAACTCATCGACAGAATAAACATCAATAAATAGAAAATTGAAAACATAAAACAATACCGTGTATGTCTCTGAAAGGACCGTTGTTTCCAGTGCCAACTTCTGTTCCTGCTCAACATCATACGCAACATAGCACAACTTTTCCTTCATCAATCGAACTGTTTCGAAATCCGCGGAATGGTTGAAATTATATCCACGAAGCAATAATAACTAAAGCAAAGCTAGCTGCATTGATAGAGTAGAAGAAACTCGATATATAGAAAAGAGGCTTTTCAAACCTTAATCAGATATCGGGTGACGTCTCTCCCCGCAATATCAAGTCGTCGAGTAAGATGACTTAATGCGTAGCCCTGGTACACTGGACAAATATGTGTTACACCGTCACCAGAATCCACAACCACTCCTGTTACAAGACCTTGGGCACACAGCGTCAATACGGCCTTTATAGTATTAGATTGGAAAAGTGACAAACAAGTAAATTTCTTTTACACTGAACAGTCGACGTTTGTCAACGATAGTAAATAGGAATACAAATGCACTGGGAATGTAAAACACTACCTGCACTGAGACATGAAGTGAGTTGAAACCGTACTGCTCAAACATCACTTGAAATAGACGTTCGCGATTACTACTAGGGTTTAAAGGTGGCTCAGTTAAAAGCAGCTTGCAGTCCTAGAAGGAAATGATTTGGACGATTAAACAGAACAGCAGGAAACAAAGCGCAGCGTATAGCGTCAGAGGTGCTATGCAAAGTGCATACGTAGTCGTTTATCACTTTTCAAGCCCTGGGTCTACCAGTGCCAGGGCTAGCGAACTCGTGCCATGCACAATACAGAGGGATAAAAACACGAACTTCGTTTGTAGCAAGGCAAGTTCATAACACCCTCTATTACGTTCGATATAATCGAAATGCACGGCACATCCCTCAGGCAGTGATCCACTTCGGACGCTACATGCCCTTTTCTTTTAATAGGAAACAAAGGAAAAGAATGAGAGAAATAGCCCCAACATTGTTGTGATTGCTAATTTTTTTAGGCATTACATTACATTTAAGCGTTTTCAAAGTGAGTCCACCTGCTTGGATTGATAAGCTAACACAAGGTTGATAAAGATATTCGGCTAACGTTTCGACGTCTTCGTTTTCATCAGGGCCGATGAAGATATCAGCCTCGTGATCCCTCAACAATCCAAGAATGTACTGATTATTGCGACCGAGATTAAATGATTGTCGGTTCGAAAAATACTGTTTTGAGTCTACCTTCCTAAGCTTCATTTTACTAGATGAACACTCAACATGGGTTGAACGAATAAGGAAGGATATTGTACACAGCTGGTTATAGAAGTATCATTATTAGTGCCTATGTTTTTTGTCAAAGAATTTCCCACAATACACTATGTGTGAAGGATGTTTGTCTTAACAAAGAGGTTATTTAAAACACCGCTTTCGAAAAACAGTGAATAATCATGGGTAGCTGCTGCTTCAATGATTGTTATAACCTTCGTAACTTAAATAGGTACAGCTAATATGTAGTTAAAGAATGTCCACCATTGGTGACGTTTGTGACCTCCACTAACTACAAGCATGCAACGCACCTACATAGACACTATTCACATCTAAACATGCCTACATGAACACATTCGTTAGCTCATCTTGTTGTCACCTCAATAGAACTTTTTTTTACTTTACATGCCCGTCATAACGTCTATTGCACGAATCTCATCACTTTCTGCATTTAATTCGTTTTCCTGGCATTTATCGCCAACACTTGTCCTTGATCATTTTGCGCGTTGTTCCGGTTGTTGCTTGAGGATTTCGTTTTCTTTATGGATGTCGTAGAATGCCGGTCAAGCCAATTCTCTTTGAAATCTTGGAGTTAGTCTATATACGGCGTTCAGTTGATTGGGCGAGAATCCATCTAGTGCCTTTGCTTCGTGATCGACGGCATCACTAACCACTGCGCCACCCTGCCACTTCAACAGAAATAACAATGAATGATTTCATTTTGTTGTTATTCCAACAGAGATCGGAATGAAAAAGACTACAAGATGCACTAACAGCAAAGCCACTATAATGTCTTCGACTAAAAAGACAATTTTTGGAATGGCAACAACTTCAATGAGAGGAACTCAACTTATCAGCACATACAACATTTACTTACTTACGTGAATACTACGACAGCTCATTCCCACTGGCTGTGAGGGCCCCAGTGCACTCTCCACTTTCTGGAGCCTTGATGCCTTAGCCATTGTACTTCTTCATAGTCCCGAGGTCAACCTGCCCAAAGTTTGCCCAAGGTCGCCTTCACCACCACAGGCAGTCGCCGACCATTGTGGATCAGGAGATTTGCCACCATGCGACCAGTTTGATACCAGGACGGTGGTGATTGTTCACTTTTAGCTGGGCTTCCTGATGAAAATGCCGGACTCCTTCTGAACCCGGGAGGCAGTCACTATCGGAGTGATGACTCCCCTCGGTGTACATCGCGGTTCGACACTCAGGAACACCTGCCAACCACTATGAGTCGGCAAACTGTTAGAATGCATACAACATCTAATAAATTCAAATCAATTTTCCTTAAGAAGACTAAAAACTCACAAATGAAGAGTTCAACAAGATACTACAAATGAGTGAAATTAGAATGTAGAAATTCTAAACAACTGACCTTTGGATCTATGTCTAATTTATCAGGTCCAAAAGTATAGTCCCATACATGACCCATTTCTTCCCAATTACGCACTATGCCGTTTTCCATAGGATAAGATATATCAAGCATCTGACGAAGTTGCGAACATTCTTCACCCACCATGAGGTCCTAAGCAGAAAAAAGAGGCATGTAAGAATTACTAACTGTTAGACAACAATACACTTCAAAAACTGCGTTTACATCCATGCATTCAGGATTCACCGACCTTTATTTCAATATTCCCGACTTTCTGAGAAGAACGTACAAGTGGGCGTCCAACTAGAGAAGGAAATATATGAGTAGGAAAATTAGTACCAGCATAACCACATTTTACAAACTGAAACCGAATACTATGAAAATCACTCCAACTGGATAAAAAGAAAGACATGACTTAAAGCCTATCGAATGAATACCATATACGAAAGCCACATAGAGACCAGGAATTAAAAAGAATCTACTCACCCCCGAGCCGTTATCGACAACAATCACCTTTCTTCCCTGTGAATCCATCTTTGATGTCTATAAAATAGAGTTAAACTACAGCAATCAAACATAACAATTCGCCAAAACACCGATATTACCAGGACCAAAATTATTAAGAACGTCGAAAAACAGTCACCACGGTCAAAGTAGGTTTCGAAACCATTGTTTTGACGTCAGAAAGATCAAGTACTAAGTACTACCACAAAGACAAGTACTAATTATAGTGTTACGAATTTTTAATAACATCTGGCATCGTTCTTAAAAGTCCTACCCACATCGGCAAAGTGGTACAAGACTACATCGGGGAAACTTCCCTCTGATCCACAAAGAACAGCAATTGTGGTAAGGAGTTGGTAATGTTCCATTAAGATTATCCAGTGATTCCGAGAACACTCGTTCGACCAGAATTCAACGACATTAATGAGAAATATGAAACTCTTAAGCTGCACCTGAACCCACGATTCCTAAGACAATCGTAAATGACGGACACAAGGCAACGAAATGAACTAAAGTACCGGAAACCGCAGAATACATAAAAACGGATATTATGAAATCAAAATAGAAGTAATCTTGATTTAACTAATGATGAAACGGCGGTCCCAGTCCTATATAAAGGACAAAGCTCTCGGCGTTGATAAATCCCTGAGGAGTGCACCATGCATTCGACTTCTTTAAGTATCGTTGGAGGTGATTGAATGCATATCTGGCCTTTACAATGACACGCAGTGGCCTACTAATGTATCGAGCCAGTGCTGTTATCCTCCCAGAAAAGTCTGGTACCAATTTGCCGATCCCGGAAGGATGGAACGCTTGGTGGGCCATGGGTCCGGGGAACGATTCGTGTGTTGCAGGGCGCCTCCGACCACTGCGCCATGCGCGCTCTTCGGTCCTATATATGACTGCTGTTTCAGCTGGGACCTCGTAAAAACAGATAACAGACGGATGCAATGAAATGCAAACATCGAATTAACGTGAATAAACTGAACGTAAGTAAATTAGTTCTTGGTGCAAAGAAAAAGGCATGAGACATGAAATAACTGACTATCAAAGAACAAATATCTTGATTCTTCCTTTCTCACATTTATCACTTTGAATTTATGCTAAAGATCCTTAGTTCCTTAAGCACTGCTGACTAATAATCCAGTTTGAGGTGGGCAGATGACACAGCGGTAATGATGTCCGTCATCACAATCATGGTACTAGTCCGATTCCACTCCAGACCAATCGAGCCTCTCATCCCCCTGAGGTCGAAATGGTAACGGAGTTGTCTGGAAGAAAACTGCTCTTCACAATTCAATTAGGAACGCTCCAGTCCGGCTATCTCAGGACTCCAGAGAAAATTGCTCGACTAGCGTTCTACGACATTCAAGATAAAATGAAAATGGTCAAGCAGCAACCGAAGCCACACGCAGAAGTTGGAAGATCTTCGTGGACAACGGATGCGAGGAAACGAATTGAATATAAGAAGTGCTGGGATCCGCACGGTAGACGTGAAGACGGGCCAAATAAAATAAAGTAGAAAAAAATAAAACAAAAATCCCGCTTGTAAAATTTTAACTAGCATCATGAACTAGCAGAGAGTTAAGGAAGCGACACCTTTTACAGTCAATAAAAAATAGAAAGTGGCAGGTGGTGGCGCAGTGATCAGTGATGCAGTACCTTAGGAAGCAAGTTGCTGGTTCGACTCCCTTCCTAGCGGTCTACTCCAATCAACGTGGGAATACCTTAGCTCGGCTAACTCAAAGATTAGAAAGGGAACTGACTCGACATCCATAATGAAGACGAAATCCTCATGTAACAGCCGAAACCACCCATGAAATGTTCGAAGACCTTCCTGGACGACAGACGCGAGAAAAACGAATCGATTGCGAGAAGTGCTGTGGTTCGCACATCGAAATGTCATGATGGGTTATGTAAAATAAAAACTAACGAAGAAAACAGTAGAAATGATATCACATAGTGGTGACGTATATGGTCGCATTCGCACCGCAAAATAAACTGTACTAACCGCAAGAACACAAACAGAGGCTGGATTCTGCGTGACGAAAGCATTAAGCGACGTCTAATTCTCGACCGCTCTAGTGGTGAATCATATATGACTCATCAACGCTGAAGCGTTTCTAATACTCTTCACCGGTCTTTCCATACTTTTGGTACCCAGCAAATTTTTGTACTTGGAGAAAGGAAAAGAATTTCTCCATGGTGCAGCCACAATGTTGTCATTTGGCAAAGTTTTATAGGACAGATGAAGTAAATCTCCGTGATTCATTTGTGGTTTTCATGTTGGACGATCTGATACGATGTATTCGAGTGACCACAGGAATTTTAAGTGGGATAACAATCACTAACTGGTTTGAATCACGTCGGCGGGAGACGAGTAAAGCATCATTTTCGACTGAGTGGTCACCAAGGATGGAACGATGGAATCTGTTCTGTTACCGATCGATAAAGAATCTGAAAGATATTGAAGGTCCGACCAACAGATATGGAACAAAGAAGTGTAAGTTGTGGGGACCAGAAAGTGTTAAAGGAATTGAAAGAGTGATTGGTCTGTGCCCTCATTAGCTCTAAGTATTGTCTCACTAAAGATTAAGCATTAAGCTCTCGGCGTTGATCAATCCCTGAGGGATGCGTCATGCATTCGACTTCGTTGATTATCGTTAGAGGTGATTGAATGCAAATCTGGCCTTTTCAATGGCTCGCGGTGGCCTACCGATGTATCGAACCGGTGCTGCTATCCTCCCAAACAAGTCTGGTGCAATTTGCCAACCCCGGAAGAATGGAACGCTAGATGGGCCATGGGCACGGGGATCGATTCCACGTGTGTTGCAGGTCGTCTCCGTCCACTGCACCACATGAGCCCTTACATACCTTATAGATTGCGAAATTGCACACGACAATCATAAGATATAATGGTTTCAAAATTTTAATGGTCGTAATTGTGTATAAGGAGCGTTCGTGGCACCCTGAAACACACACGTGGAATCGATCCTCACGTTCATTGCCCACCAAGCATTCGATCCCTCCGGGTTCGGCAAATTGGTTCCAGGCTTGTCTGGGAGAATAGCAGCACTAGCTCGTTACATCGGTAGGCTACCGCGAGTCATTTTAAAGACTAAGGATGCTTCAATCACCTCCAAACGATACTTAATGAAGTTGAATACATGGCGCACCCCTCAGAGATTGATCAACGCCGAGAGCTTCTTTTTAAGTTGTGTATAAGAAGTATAAATTGAAGATGCTGCGAATTATGGCTACATTTAACTACATAGATGAGGTGTCCCACTTCTCGCTGGATCACAGCATTTCTTCCATTCGTCTCGTTCCCTTACAATCCTTGGTACCTATAGGGTGCGTAGAAACTGCTAATTGTAGGCATTTTTGTGAAATGTTTATCATCATAACGCTCACAACGTGAGTTAAGGGTTGTAGGGATGAAGATTGAGATTATGCAATGCCTGTAAACGCCTTTTGAAAGCAATTTAGTTAATTTTATTTATTTCATTCTATTCGACCCGTGTTCTTGTCTACTGTGCGGATGCCAGCAGTTCTCATATTCGATTCGTTTCCTCGCGTCCACCATTCATGAAGGTCTTCCAACTTTTACGTGCGGCTTCATCTGCTGTTTGAGGAATTTTTGTTTCATTTTCGACGTCGTAGAAGAGAGCTGGTCTTGTCGATTCTCTCCGGAGTCTTAGGATTGCGAGGCAGTTTTCCTAATGGGATTGCAGATATTTACTCCAGTACAAGTCCGGTGCCAATTTTCCCATCCCGGAGAGATGAGAGGCTTGTGGGGTGGGATCGAATCAGCACAGTGCTCGTGGTGATCGGCATCACTACCATTGTGATGTCTGCCTCGCACATAGTACACGTATGTAGTCTCTCTACGTACTACAGACATATCTCCTCATAGGTATCTTCAGTGACATCCTATACTGCCGATAAAGTCTCCTAAGATCCGGGTTTCATTAAGCAAGTACAGCAGACATGCCAGTACCCTCGACTGTATTGAAATAGCCCTACGAACTAGTCCGAAAAAAGATTCCTTGCATATCTCTATAGAGATTTTCGTGGCCAGCATCCTCCAATTTGAGTAGTGTATGAGCTACCTAGTGATTACAAAACATTTGGCAGAAATGATCTGCGTAGCAAAACAAGCGGGAAAAATGAGTCAACAATGGATCAATAAATGCTTGAGAATGAATCTCAACATCACTGTGGTTGCCTAGGACAGTCCCTATCGAATGCATAAGTCATACATGACTCATTAAGTCATCAATGTGTTAAAATAAATTTCTGTCACTTACTACGACCTTAAATTTTTTTTCCATTTCTGCATATACTTGGTTTTGTCGGAGAATTTCTTGCCTTATACAGTGCAAGAATCTTAGCTTTCTTTTGAATGATTTACGTGTAAACCGTGCTTGAGCGGTCTTTCATAGGTGCATTCGCCGACATACTTTGAATTTTTGGAGAGCGTGTGTTGTGAACAACACGTAGGCAAAATATTTCATATTACTTTTTTCACTCTTAGCAGAACCAATCGTCGTTCTGCTTCCGACCAACCAAACCAGCCGTTAATGATGGGCTTAGGTTACTTTTTCAGCTCAGAGAAAGAAAAACCTATTCCCAAGACCGACTATCTGTTAGCCTCGGCATTGATTGATAATTCGATGTTTTTCTTCAACGAGATAACTCAGTTATCGCCCATGTATTACTCTATGCGGCTGCTATCCATCAACTAACTTAAATACTGACAACAAATAAACGACTCTGAAGAAGGCGAAACCGCCTTATATCCCTCCCCATGGGTTCGCCGCTTAATTCTGTCCGGAGTTGTTTCTGGATTGTCGGACTGCGATTTATAGCGTAGTTTCGTTCTCATCAAGGTTGCCCATCTAAGAAAACGAGATTCCATGAGGCTGTGCGACTAAGTGTAAGCTTACAGCACAGCGGCATCTTTAGAGCAACCCATGGCTACACCTTCGCCAAAAACTGTCGAACAATGTTATGCATTTCGACTGTATTTGCATTTTTAGAACTGCAATGGAGAAAACCTCTGTGTATACAAGTAGGGAAGTGAATACGATAAATGTCTTAACTCTAAAACTATGCTGCAGGAAATGAGCGGTTGCGGAGCTTACAAGAGGACCACTGGTTTAGTGAAGAGGACAACAGCTATGTAGTTCTGTGCCTACCTCTTCCAGACTGATTCTTCCTGCGTTAGCTTACGCTTCGAAAACTTGGGCATGGAGCAAACAAGTTGAAAGATCATTCAGCATTGCTGAACATACTACTAAGAAGGCAATACTGTTTAGGAGTATCACCATACAAGGGAGGGAAATCTTTAGTTCCAGCCAACGTCGCCGATCAAAGACCGGAAACAGCGCTACGAATGCCAGAATGTCGAGAACCAGGTGACCTGGAGACGTGATGCGTCTGAACAACAACTGATGGACATGAGCCTCTATAATGGACCCTTTGAGATGTCAAGCTTGGGAAATTCAATCCCATTCACAAGACTTCTTGAAACCCTACAAACGAATGTAATGATCCCTAAGTCTCTTTAGCAGACAGAACTCACTGCGCCATTCCCGTACGCAACAGTAGTAAACGGAAAGTTCACTGGTGCCCCATTCGAATTAACCGACAATCAACAGTTGAACAGAGAATACAGGTTAGGTGTCACAGGTTACATTCACTGTACGTAAACAAACACTACTTTTTTCCTGTTTACAGTAGAAAAAGTAGCCATCAAGTTGGTAATACAAATTTTCTATCACCGGACTGATCAGTCAAGTAAATGGGCAGAGCAAAAATTGGAAGTGGGCAAATGTTCAATGTCGAGCACCTTCCCTGTATATTTGTTTGCTCTAATAGCTCTTTAACCAAAATTCACACTAATATTCATCAGTACTGGCTAGAAAACATTATAAATATAACCACAATCGCTGGGAATTTTGTAGAACTCCATAAAACAATGAATCACAGTCGCAATCAACAACCGATCAAAAATGCAAAACAATAAAAAAACAATCCAAAAACTCCAAAACTCTTCTTCACATTGTGCTTACTTGATACTTGAACGTCCCGTCCTCACTGGTTGCGGGGCCCCAGCATAACCACCATTTCTCGAACATCTGCTGGTTAAGCCATTGTGGTTCCTTGGAAGCCCGAGGACAGTTTGGCCAAAGTCTGCCCCAGGTCTTCACCACAATAGGCAGTCGCGGCCCTTATGGATCAGAGGGAGAATTGCCACCATGCGATTTTGATACCAGGGCGGTGGTGGATACTGGTATTGGTTTACTCTTAGCAAGGCTTCCTGCTGGAAACGCCGGACTCCTTCTCAGCTTAGGAGATCCTGCCGTTGGGACGAATCCATCCACTGTACATTGCAGTCCGACACACGGAAGGACATCTCAGCCACGATGAAGCGGTAAACCGTTGAGAGGTATACGATACATAGGATATATATATATATATATATATATATATATATATATATCCTATGTTTGTGCTACAACGGGAAATTCGATTTAGAGCAAATCAAAATCATGAACTCGATCCGTGAGTGTAAAAGTTTTACAGAAATAATTATTAGCTTCGGTTTTGTCCTTACCTTTTCAAACTACATCAGTAGCTCTACTAAAAGGCACTAACGTGGCGTCACATAGTTCTTGATGTGTCAACGATTGGAGCTCGTACCATCATATGAAATATCTCTAAATGATTTTAGTGTTTGTGCCTCGAAGAAGATCCTACGTATCTTTAACTACTATCTACTCTTTTACAACAAATAGTTGGCTAGTACAAAGAGACCACATAACCCACGCACAGGTTTTCCCCAATTGTTTTCGCCAACTACCACCTTGCCCCAAATAAGGAGCGTACCTACCAATCGGTTCATCCATCCAGCTTCCTCAGCTGGCGATCATATTTCAGCTACACACGAGTTGATTTTTTCCAGTAGTTCCACATCAGTACGGTACCGAATGCAGTTACTGCTCCTAATGCTTCTGCAGCTAATCACGGTAAAGCATAAGTGCAGGGTTGGTGAGTTCCAACTCAACGCACTCACCGTGAGCTTCCTGAGGTTGATGTTTTAAAAATATTTTAAGAACAAATAATTCCGCTTATGCTCTTGCTATGGTTTTGTTTTCTGTCTTGCCAACGGTTTCTGAAAGTGGTAACAGCGTTATTCGAAAAATTTCTCATGGAATCCGTACAATATGTTGCCGAGTCATGTAAGTAGAAAGGTAGAGCCTTCTGAACATGGCCATTGTCTTACAGCGATTTTCATCAGGAGTAAAACATGGTTGCTTTGGTCTTACTGACAAGAAAAAGCTTGTCTTCATACTATGTACTTGTTTTATCGAGAGCTTTCATTAGCTAGTTTTACCATCAAGAAATCAGAAATATTAACATCTCTTAGAACGCAGTGCAAGGATTCTTAACTTTAAAAGAAGTAAAAAGCCTACAGGTAACGAGTAGATGGTTAATCGCAAACTAAAAGCGACTATTGCTTCCCTTTAACCCAGTTGGACCCATGGAAAGGTTTCCTTGCTTCCGCTGCACCGATATGACACATACTTGCTATATTCACGATAACGCATTAGTGCACGATTGCACGATGCGAACAGCCAGCCAAAATCTCCGGGACATTGTAGACTGCCTAAATTGTAAAAAAATTAAGGTGACAATCTGAACGTACAATGGGCGCATATTTTCGTCTGAGTCCGCAATTTATGCAATTGGATTGGCTGAAACAAGAAGATACCACTCATTTAAAGCCGTCCACTACGCCGGAGAAGAAGTGTTCCTTAGAACACGCGACACTAGAGGAGTCGCATGGACGTAGAGTCACTCGAACAGCTAGCGACACGAGTCAAACGTTTACGGTTGAACAAATGTGGATCAGAACCGGCTTCGAAAATTTTCGTCGCCTACTGGCTGACATAAGGCGCGTGTGCGCAGTGGTTGAAGGCGCTACCGCGACGCAAACGTGGAATCGATCGTCACGCCCATGGTTCAACAAGTCTTCCATCACTCCGGACTCGGCCAATTGGTATCAGACTTGTCTGGGAGGATAGCAACACTGGCTCGACAAATCGGTAGGCCACTGCGAGTCATTGTAAAGGCCAGATATGCATTCAATCAGCTCCAACGATACTTAAGAAAGTCGAATGCATGGTGCATCCCTCAGCCATTGATCAACGCGGAGAGCCTTATCCTTTGTTATTTACGGCCTGACATAAAGCTATGCCGAACATAAAGTGGAAGCGTTATACATGGACTTGGAAAAGTTCTACCGAGAACATTAAACATTCTTACCGCCATCACTGGAGATTTCAGCGCTAAGATTGGACCCAGAAGGACGTAAGGACCCAGACTGGAACTCACTAATTAGAACGAACAACCAGGGTGAGCGGCCGCCTGATTTTGTCACGACAACCAAGACTATTCATGTTAACTCGCAATTCCATAGGCTCCACTTTCAACGCTGAACATGGAAGTCTCCCAATGGAACCGCAACGAAATAGACCACACAATGAATCGAAGGTTTTGGCTAACCTATACCGCTATTGTCCCAAAACTATACACGGAATCGGACCACTGCCTCATTCGTGCACGATTTCATTTTCGGCGGAAAAGAGAAAAAAAGCAGCTAAATTCAAAAAACCAAGTTTCAAAGCCACCATAAACTGGACTTTATTAACTTGATTAGTCAATTATTGGGAGGACACAAGTCTTGCTAACATTGACGGGAAATATGATTGGATCATTCAACATCTTCGCGTTAGCGCTATGAATAGTGGCTTAGTTCTTCGCACAATAGCTGTCATAATGCAAAGTCCCTACTCAGCGATAGACCAGCAGGACCGTGTTATTGTTCAAGAAGGGTGACCTTCACGATATCGCCAACTATCACCCAAACTACTTGCTGTCTGTCGTCTACAAACTTTTCACTTGAGTCATCCTAAGCAGAATCGACAGAACACTGAACGAAGGACAACCGTGTGAGCAAACAGGGTTTCGAAAAAGACTCAGTACGCTGGAACACATCAACACGATAACAAGACTCATTGAAGTATGGCGAGAGTACAAGAAACGGCTCTATCTCACTTTCATCGGTTTGAGGAAAGCTTTTGACTCATTTGAGAAAGCAGCAGTCACGGAAGCGCTGGACA